TATGAACAGACACCTCTGAGTAACATTGAGTAAGTTTTAATTGCAATTTAAATAAAAACTATTTATGATAATATGTGAGACAACCTAGCCAGGTTTTTAAAGTTAAGAATGAACTATCATGGTCAAAGTTGATAAAATTGTTTTGCAAACTGAAGAAACTAGGTATTGAAATGTATAGTACCCTACAATACTATTTTCAAAAGGCATCGTTCATAGTACATCTACAATATACAGTAGCAGCAAATCAGTGTTTCAAATGCTCCCCTTGCAGGTCTTATAACAAGCCTTATTCAATCTTTTCTTTATTTGTAGCTTTCAGGGTTAAAAAAAATCAAGCCTAATAAAAATGCATTTCATATTAAAAATATTAGCATTTATCTAACTGGTCTCTTTGCTATCTGTAAACTTACAACTCTATAGTTTGTTTTTTTTAATTCTGCCAAGTTAAAACACAGAGAAATTTGCAATTACAAAAGGGGTCAGAAGCCAAGATTCGTATAATATTTTCAAAACTACTGAGACAGAGTAGAAATTCTCCAGAGTAGAAATCCATTTTGATTTAGGTGAAATGTACATCTTTGAGTTAAGTATGTAGTTTGAAAACATAGCTATTTAGTCTGACTGCCTGTTCTTGTAAAAAGCCTAGGCTCAGAGAAACTGCTTCAGTGAAGGACAGAGATAAGGGGAGGGAGACAGAGAGAGACAGAGAAACTGCTGTGAGAGCAGGTCAACCTGACCTAGGAATTCTTTCTGATAAAGAACTAGCAGCAAATGTCACGTGAAATTTGTAAAAATGAATATGTATGAACCTATTGTGAAATTGCATGCATATGGATTTGAGAGAGGGATAAAAAGGGACCTAGAGTTCCCAGAGGTACGCATGTCATTTCATTTTAGGGGAATGATTCCCACATGTGTCCAGTGCTGTAATAAACATACCAGCTTTACAACTTTCACAAAAGTTGTGGAGTTTTGTTTATCTCCACAAAACACTACCTCCTGCAAAACAGCACTTAAGAAATGCATCGACACTATGTGATCTATTAAGTATCATCTAAATAATAACCAAATCTACAGTTATTTAATATAGGAACTCTGACAAGACAACAATTTAAGGAGATATGTTACATCTTCATTCTAACTAGCAATGGTGTATTCCTCCATGTTGTTATGCTTACTGACATTTGCAAATGAGTATCTTACAGCAAATCCTCCTTAATGGATTCTTTTTTCCTCCCTGTTCTTATAAGCGTCATCCTGAGTTACTTGAACCAAATTTATCCCTTGCAAGATGCTTTTTCCAAGGTCTATGTACAGTTCTTGAGAGGAAGTAACCTGCTTGAGAGTCCCTCATACATACACACTGTGCCCTCCCCTTTGGATTTCTTAATATTAAAAAAAAATCAATTTTTTTTCCTTTTTTTTTTTAACAAAGTGAGCTGCAACACATTTTCAATGTCAACACTCAAACTTTTCAACAGATTCTTCTGAAAGCCTGAAACATGAGTCACCCTTATTTCACTTCAGAGTTTTCTGAGCTGTAAAAAGCACAATAATGGTGAAATGCCAATATTTTTCTATTATATTTGAATTTTTAAAAACCTTTTTGTTCTTTCAAAAAAAAGTGTTTGCATAGAAATAAATACTGATTCCCCAACTTGCTCTCATGCCAATTTCATTCAGAGTTAATTTGTATGGTCAAATTCAAAATTGTTTAAAGGAAAAACTTTTAACAGCAGCAGATCTAGCAGAACCTATTCAAGGATTCAAAGATCATCCTCTTAGGCTGTGAATGCTATCTAGTGTTTAAGAATGGCAAAATCTTAAATGCCAACAGAGAGGCTCAGTCATTAAAAGATAAGAAATTGCTCTTCGTCTGCAGTAACTCAAACATCCTGGCATTCCCTTGAATTAGAGTCTGAGCTTATGACTGCTCACTTCAGTGAGAAGATTCTAAGTAACACCCTTGAAGTTTAGATTGAACCTGTATTTTCAGGTGTAAATTAACACCACAGAAAGCATTCAGAATAAAATAACTTATATTGTGCTTAGGTCCTATGGAGCTCACAATACTTGTATTGAAGTATCACCAGTAAGATCTCAACTCTTTACTCTTCAATCTTTCTTGAGAAGAAAACCAAGCCTGACAGTATTTTAATGCACAGGACATTTGAGTTCAGCAGTGAGAACTGACTCTCTACAGCATAACTGCTCTGTTTGTAACTTCATGGCATTATGTATTCACTAAACATTTTCCTTACCTTACTAGTTTAGCCAAACCCACACTATTTAAATGGACAAAATTTAGTTACACAACATGCAAGACTACTGTATTCTCAAATGTGGCACTTCAATTTTCAGACCACACACAAGCAAAATGTTGGCTGTTACAATACATGCACTGAGAGAAGGTTAAGAGCCAGAGTATGCATAACCTTCATACATGAAGGCCACATTAACTGTCACTAAAAATTTTAGAGCATCTCTGTTGGCAAAGCTATTTTTCAGAGTGGTTGAAAATCAGTCCCAATAATAAGCGATGTTGAGACAGTAACCAGCACTACAGCTGAAATGTCCAAATACACTAAAACTGAGGGGAACACAGACTACCTGTAAGACTCTTATGCATCAATGCATACAGACTTTTTCAAAAGTAACTGCAAAAGGTTTTTCATGCTTATGTCCTGATACTCAAGTTCAAGCATCAAGTTAAACCTCTTTAAACCTGCGTGCAGAGGACATTCATGCACTGAATTTCCAGTAATGTTTTTGATACCTTATAATAATTTCTATGTGTTCATTCCCTAAATTTTAAGTAATTCACAGTGTAATACCAAGTGCACTAAAGCAGCTTTCTAGTCAAGAAAAAGAATTTAAGTACTTTGCCAGTTCCAATAAGAGGGATCGCAAATGGCATGTGAAACTACCACTGCAATGGAGAGCTCTAAGTCCTACTCAGACTCACAACTCCACTGCATCTGTTAAGACCACAATATTTCATTAACCACAAGTAGCATAGGATGCATTTTTGGCCAACCTTGTCCTTATGTCTATAGAGAATGTTTTTCACTTGTACTTGGAAAACATTTCCCACAAACCAAAGTCATTTCTATTTAAAGGAAAACCACAATGTGGCAGGTACATATTGCACCTAATTGCAGCAAAAGGACAGCTCAAACATTTGAATGTCATAAGTGGAATTTAGCATAAAGCAAATGATATGTGCTATGAATAAGCATCATTGTTCCTCAGGATGGTTTGTGCACTCTCATATCTTGCATCACAGGCAAAACTGGGCCTTAGTATAATCATCATTAAATAATCAAGTTTTTCTGTGTACTGCAATGGGAACTCTTCACTGCAAACATCTCATGGTTAAGACCAAGAACTCAAATACAGAAGAGCCTAGTGACACAAAGTACACTAGAGTGGTTTCAGGTCTCTCCAATGGAAGTCAGAAATCTAAGCAGATGTGAAAATACCCTGTGGTGCCTTCCTGGGTCACAAGATCCTTTAATGACTTTAAAAAAAAAAGAATATAACCTGGGGGACTTATTGTGTAAGTTTGGTGGGGTTTGTGAGGTGGCGAGAAACCTGTCCCAAAACTCAATGAAGTAGTCTTCTTCAACAGGCTTTAAATGAGGCTTTAATTGCCCAGCAAAGTATAAATATAGCAAAGAAAAAGGCATAAAATTATAAAAGCTAGAAGTCTGAGTAACTATTAAATTGGCAAATATTTTTAGATCTCTATTAAGAGTTTACTACACAATAATTATAGACTATGCCTTTCACAGACTTTCTAATAATAAATATTTACTTTGTGCAACCTGCTTCCTAGCAATACGTGGGAAAAATCCCAGTTCTCATGATGACAGAATTATTCACCATAACCAAGTCAGTTAAAACAGTTATTTGCAAAATCTGCTGCAAATATTTTAATTCATCTAGCAAACATTAGTTCAGCAACTCAAGACTAATTATTGCAGTTTTCCTTTAAATCTTCTTGCCCTATGCAAGCTGATATTTATCTCAAAAAAAAGCCACAACACCCAACTTCTAACACAAGAGGCATAAAAGCATGTAATCTAGTAAAAATTGGCAAGCCAAAAAGTTTCTTTTTATGTGATTTTATTTTTGATTGCCATATGATGATGGTTCTGTGGTATAATATGCTGAAATAATTTTTGACACAAAATCCTGTCCACAGCACTTGAGCTAATAACAAAGACTCAGCAGACAAAAAACTTGAAGAATTAATGTTTCTTTTGCTAATAAAATTATGAGAAGGCCCCTATAATTTGCTGCCTATAATCTTAACACAGATGTGTCAGAAAATTAAAAATATAGAAATTATAGATCCTTATGACATAGGAAAATGGTAACAGCTTTGTCTAAGATGTTGAAAATTTAGGTGTGGATATAGCTTGGGCACCTGAGTAAACAAATTCATATTTATATCCTAAAATAGGTGACCAGCTGCAATCTGCAAGAACTTACAATAAGGCTAAACAGGTTTGTCATGCACTGAAACATAGAGCTGAAAGGACAGTGCAGTAATGAACAGGGCCTTACTGTAACACAGGCAAGAGGTATGCTGTATTATTTTTAACACAGCTGCCAATCTGTGGTCTTAAGATATTAAAGCAAAGCTGGCTATTTATCTTCAGAAGGTATTTATTAGATTATCACCATCTAATGGGATTTGACAGCACTAACAAGAGCTTATCTAGGCTTATAAATGAAAATATCTAAAAATTCCAGAATTCAAAGATAGTCCTTCCTCCAATTTACCATTTCTATGCTTTGTTGGTGTGCAAAAGTGATCTGAAACCTCAGGACAGATTTTAAAATTTGCCCATGTCTTAATACACTGCAGTCTTCAAATTTACACAGAGCTGCAGTTCTCCTGGTTTTTCTCAAGTGTGACTCATCTAATTTAGCATGACAGCTGAAAAATTATGTCAGATGTGTTACAGTTCAGTTTAAAAAACATCCTCTACCTGGTATCTCTGCAGTGATTGTCTTGCTGCTCCCTGAAACCTCTTCATCATCATCTGATGAGCTTGTGCTTGAGTTACACGTCAGGTCACTGTCGCTGGTACTGCTGTCCTGAAGCAGGTTGTACTTCTTGCGAGCAGCTGCCTCCCGCTTCTGTCTCAAGAGACGGATTCTTTCTTTGTGCTTTTGACTTCTATGACCTTTTACCTTGGTAGCTCGACCATTCTGCTTATCACTAGACTGTCGGTTTTTCTTGGCAGCCATTGTTGAAGTTTCACTTTCAGACCTGGATCTCCTGGATTTCCTCCCAACTGCAGCCCCAGACACCGCAGAAAGGTCTCCCTCTACAGTACCTTCAGCTTGACAGGGCTCATTCTCTTCTGCAGAAGACGTGTCTGAGTCAGCCAAATGCCCGCTGGAGGAAGGGGAAAGCATGCAGTGATTAGAAGAGTCGCTCTCATAAACTCGACCACCCATTGGCCTATCGCTCTCTGTAGATGCCAACTGAGACTCTGAAGAGTCTCGCCTCAGTTCCATCAGTAAGCAAGGCATTGAAGAAAGCACCGCTGAGTCTGCTGCAGCACGCATGTTGTCTTTCTGAGTTTGTGTCTCAAGTTCTATAGGTCCATGTTCATCAGGATCAGTTTCTTGCTTTTCAGAAGTCTTTGGTGGAACTGAATCAACAAGTTCTGCTTTTCCCACTGTCTCCATCTTCATTTCAGAACACTAAGGTCCTCCTGATCTCAAAGCATGGAGCACATGGTCTGGAAGATTGGGTGAACTAGATAAGGTCTTCAGCAATACAGCAGCCTAAACAAGAACAGAAGAGGAAGAATAATTTACCCAAATAACTCAGTCCTGCTCTTCACAGTATTACCTAAACAAGACATTGCTTTCAGTTACAGACAGTATGTTCATAGAATCCTAGAATGGTTTGGGTTGGAAGGGACCTTCAAGATCATCTCATTCTAAACCCCCTGCCATGGGCAGGGATACCTTCCACTAGACCAAGTTGCTCAAAATCCCATCCTGGCCTTGAATACTTCCAGAGATGGGACATCAACAACTTCCTTGGGCAACCTGTTCCAAGTGCCTCACCACTCTCAGTCAAAACTTTCTTCCCAATATCTAATCTAAACCTGCTCTCTGTCAGTTTGAAGCCATTCCCCCCTGCCGAAGTCCCTCTCCACTTGTAATTCAACATATAATAAAGATCTTTCATTCAACACATTTGCTTACAGATGAATGGTATGGAACAAATAATTTATGGGTTTAGAAGTATAGAAACAATAAATTTACAGCACTTTAAAAAGTGTAGATGAGAAAAATCAGTAGACTTTTTAATTTACTGCTTTTAAAAAATGCATTTTTGCAGACAAGGGCAATTAGTACTTGAAGAGCCCGAGAAAGCATGGATGGCTCAGAAAGATTTTTCAGTACCTGGACAATCCTTCATCAGATTCCTGATCCATCCCAAGCTTCCTGTATGTTTGTAATTGCATGCTGTTTCCCCCCCCCCCCCCATCTGCAGCACAACATGAGGCTACTTCCACAATTCTAAAAAGTGCTGTGAAAAGCTCAGTGTTGTTCTGCCCACCCTAACCCACTTTGAAACTTCATTTTTAAAGAAAATTAAAAGAGTTCATACTTCCTTTGGGCTAATGAATGAAATGCTGTATGGTGCAAGGGAATGATGAAAATACTTATGGGAGAGAAACACCAGTGTTAAGGAAAGAAAGGTTAGTTAATCTCAGACAACAAAAGAAAGATAAGTTCACATCTGCTAAATGAGAAAGAAAAACCCCTAACACACAGCAAAGCATTTTACTTCCAAAAAAACAAAAAGAGGAATAAAATACATACCAGAAAATACAAGAACATACATATAAAGGAAAATGTTTGTTAATACTGAGTAAAACTCTCTTAAAAGCAACTTAAAATAAGAATTTTCAGAAAGTGTAATTTAATGTAGGTACCAATTTATTTCCAAGGCCACAGCACAACATCAACAAACCCAAATGAGTATACATGTTGAGACACAAATACATCCCTATACTGTAATAAAATCACTATTTCTATCTATTTCACCCACAAATCTTCATTATCAAATAATTCTTCTATTACATGGGTAAGTAAAACATAGATTTGATGACTGAATGACTAACCAAGTGTTATACACAGTGGGATTTGTATTGTACCTGCTAGAGCAACTCCCAGCTTTTCTAAGAATTTTTAAATGTACATGCAAGGAAAAATTTGGTTGTTCAAACACATATCAAAAGAGTACCAGTCTGGCCAAAATGAATATATTTAAATATTCATACTAATAAGTGCAGAACAGCTTCTGCACTATTCAGCCTTTTAGCCCAGAGAACAAAGAAGAGAGCTTGACAAGAATCTAAAGGGCAGCCAAAATGAACTAGAGACTTTGACAAATATCCTACTTGGAAATATCATCTACATAGCAGCTTCCAAAGGGACTATAAGAACACCTGTACTTGCTTTTCCATCTGTCTGGACTATCAGCCAGAAAAAAAAAAAATGTTTCATCTACATGTTGCCACCTTGCTAACAGTCTAATTACAATGTTTTTATAAGATTTTTTTCATCATTAAATAGGAACTTTAACTACTTGTGAAAAATGCATATTATATGATTGGCTTTTCATAAATATTAAAATGAATATTATATGTGTTATGTTAGAAAGTTATACTGTATTAATCCTTTTCAGTAGTGTGTTAAATATAGTTATAGGCTATAACATAATATTAAAATAGAAACTATGCAATGTAAGATACTTTTTCTAGCTAGCTCAAGAAATTCCTCACACAGAGATAACAGCAACAAGACACTAAAATCCCAAAGAGAAGAATTATTGCCTCCTTGTCGGGAAGAACCAGACTTGGTGGGGACAAAGATGACTGCTTTACAAGATGAGGGGGAAAGCTGACAATAACCAGAAAACACCCTTTGTTTGAAGAGAATTTTTGAATCATCTATGAGATATATGAATATGCAACAGGCTATTGCTTTTAAGAGTTAATCCTTGGTTAGCGACCCATGCTTTCCAGAGGAAAGCATCCAAACATTCGCAATTCTTTGCTTTTTTATTGTCCTTTATTGTCCTAAATCTGATTGTCCAAATTATTTTTGCTTTAATTTGTATTACTATTTTTATAACCATTTTATAACTATTCAACTTTAAAAATTTTAAAACAAGTGATTAGCGTTTTTCACACTACTCAAACCATGCTGGTTTGATCCCTCATACAGCGATCAGTGAATTATATTTTCAGTGAGATGACAGCACAGAGACTAGTAATCTCACAACACTACATCTGGTCAACATCAATCTGTGTTCCTGTATACGTGGAAAAAATACTTGCTCTGGTGAGGTTTGTACTCTCTAGGTCCCCTGAGCTGGCTATTTAGACATCAAAAATTTGAGCAAGTATTAGTATGTAAATAAAATATAACTTTGTCTTTATCTCAGTGGAAAAAAAGTCTACTGTGACTCAGAGTTTGATGCAGGGAAGAACAAAGTTCAGGGGAAAATGTTTATGCCAAGGAAAGCCTTGTCTCAAAGAAAGAAAAACTAATGTCCTTATTTAGTTCTACTTGAGAAATTTATAGGTCAGAGAGAGGAAGAGGCTATACTGAAAAAATCACATTCTTTTCTTGCCACTCACTTTTCTAGTAACAGTACTAGAAAAAGTAATCTTGAGGTGATGCTAGAGAAAGACCAGTTTTTTTACTTAAATGAGAACACAGCACTGAAAAATGTTGTGATGCTTACTGACACAGATGGATACTTAATCAGACATTGCTTAGAAATATTATTCTCCTTTCATTGATGCACCGATACTGCACTTATTTGAAAAGGCAATTCCGTAAAAACGTCTGTGCTAGATTTTTCCATCCGAAATTATTTTATTTCCCAGGCACACATAGAACACATCAGTATGCAGAAGCCATTAAACATCTAACCACCCCTATCTGGGAAAGGATGTGCCATGTTTTTATAAGATTTTAACAAATTTTCCCACTTTACCTATCCATTTCTGTTACTCAAAGGAAATGTATTCTGTGTTTCCTCTGCTGGTTCATGCTGTTCTATATAAATAAACCTCCTCTTTCCAACAAATGTTTATCTATTGTTCTACCGTGGTCAATAAAGTAATGCTCACCAAAAAAGCCACATTTTAAATTGCTTGTGCATAATTGTAGTAAATTAATCATGCTTTTCAGATTAAGAACATTTATCTCAAATATCCTGAAAGTAATCAAACACTGAATTATTCACTTATAACTTGTTAGCAGATCAGGACAACTGCAATGTAACTTCAAAGTAGTAAACCTATCTCAGTACAGCAGTATTCATTTGAGAAGGTCTTGTGTTGTCTCTCAAAAAAATCAAATCTGGTCCAGCACAGATAGGCACAAATGTACCTTGCTATTGCTGATATTTGGAAATATTGAAGCAGAAATGAGTGCCATGAGGCACGGGCTGTTAAGAGACAGAACTGCCTACATGCTGAGGCAGTGAGCCCCCATCAACTCCTTTTGTTATTCAACTTCACAGAAGAAAGCTATGCACCTTGGATAGTTGACTTAATGAGATCAGTCAAAGTCCAGAAGGACAGCAAGGTGAGTATTTTGCCTAACAGCAGCCATGGGCCTGAAGCAAGGGAGAGCATTGGAGATTCACCTGATCTTGCAAAACAGTGCTCCAAAATTGCACAACCCTTGACATCTGACTCTCAGCAGATAAGAGAGCTGTTTTCTCGAGTTCTCTGCGATGTTCCTTTCCAGTAACAGTGCTGCCTACTTAACTGACACTACAACCAGCCTGGCTGTCTTATGGGCACTTCCGTAGCTCACTCAGCAACTCACCAGCATCTCTCCATCTCTTACAGCTATCTAAGAGCTGAAGGCACTGAACTAGAAGTGGTTTGGACTTATGACAGCCTATTTGGTGAAGATGAGTTATAAGATATTAAGCCACTACAGTTTGTAAATTTTTTATGATCAGACCTTGTCTTGGTTTGAAAAGGCAGGTGTCCGCTAAGGAAGGCAGGAGCCTTCCTTGAAATGGAAAATGCAAACCCCTCTCCCTCTGAATTATTATAATTTTGAAATTAAGAGGCTCTCAGGCAAAGAGATGGGAGTGGGAATAACAGGTTTTTACTAGGAAAATTAAAAATACAACTGCAATAGTACAAACAAAAAAGAAAACAACACTGACAGAATCAGAATATGACCCGACACCCTGTGGGTCAGGGTGTTGGTAGCAGTCCAATTGAATGGTGGCTGCAGTCCTCCGGGAGTGACAGGTATAGTTCTGTTGAAGCAGTGATCCTGTGGAAGGGTGTAGTTTTCCTCTGAAGGTCCAGTGGTGGTGTAGATGGGCCTGGCCTTCCTCTAGGAATACAGTGGAGAAGACAGCTGCTCCTCTTGGAATCCAGTGGGAAAAAATTGCTCTGGTGTTCTAAATCTCAGATTTTATCTAGGTAGGAATGCTTGGCTCCTCCCCCTGAGCAAAGCATCTCACAATGGGATGATGTAATTTTATCAGCCATGCAGTGAGGTTCAATGTCCCATTAACAGAAGATATCTCTCCAGAGGAAGGATTGGTTGTGGAAGAAATAAAGTAAACTTCCCAATTAACAGAAGATAACTGCCTCACCTCTAACAGATGGGAAATAGAACACACATGCATCTTACAACCCAGG